TATAAATGTATAGAGTCTGTAAAAACATTAGTTATTTCACAAAATGACTTCCCAAAGAAGAGCATGAGTCATACTATCTTAATTTCTCTTTGTTATTCAGTGGCAGACATGTAGGTGTGCAGACAGCAATAGATGCATTATTTTTTATGCTTTAGTAACACTTTCCATTTCAGATGCTTTGCCCATCCCCATGTTAGGATGGTTAGTTCTGACTTTCATTTCCTACCTAAGGCAGGCAGACTTACGACTAGTCTAGAGAAGGTACATGAGCACGTGGCAGTGGTGAGGTCCTAAAGAAATTAATTTTTGTCTACTAATACCATGATTTCATCAGTGAATGGAGTATTGAATTAATAACAGTCCATTAAATTTGCATTTGTCAGATAATATTAAGGTGGACAGTAATGCCTGATGTTGGATTCCTCTAAATGGAAACCTTTGCTTGGGGGCTCCCCAGTGACCTGACTGGAAGTGTCAGAGCTCCCTGAAACCTGAGCCTCTTCCTACTGAATCCTTCCTTTCTTCTCCCCCTTTACAGTTGTCATACCTGTGATCTGTGTTCTAAGGGCTCTTGCCTTCTGCTCCTGCTCTCTGTCCCTTAATTCTTCAGATATTTCCCCCCATAAACCTCTTTCCCATCTAATCTCATTTTGGCCTTTACTTCTCAGAGCACCCAAACTGATATATCAAGCAAGAAGTCTGCATTTGAATCTGCTGCTCAAAAGAGAGTGGACTAAAGAAACAAGACTAAAAAATTTGGTTCAAGTCTTGGCATTTACCTTTGATAGCTATGTGACATAAGCTCCTTTCCTCATCTGTAAAATGAAAACAATATTAACAATTTTATGGCTTTATTGAGAGACTTTTTGTATATTTTTAACTATTTTTTATTTCTAATGTTTTCTAAGACTATTGTGAAAAAACAATGAGATGCCTTTTAAAAATAATTTAAAAATATGGAAATTGAGGTTTGGTTGAGTAACATACTGATGTTCAAAGGGAGTGTGTATCTGTATATATATTTTATATTATATATGTATAGCTATAAGATGAAATGGAATAAGCAGAACTTCTACAAATATTTATTTTAGAGATATTTGTGTGCATTGATGGTAAAATCTGAATTAGCACTTTTAGAAATTATTCTGGCAATATCTATTAAAGTTAAAAATACATATATGTCTTTTGTTCCCGAAATTCTGCTCTTGGGAATCTATTTCTTAGAAATAAAAGGATCAGTAAATAAAGCTAACTGTACAAGGCTAATTATTTCAGAAAACATTCAAAAGCTGAAAGAAAAGTGAATTCCCATGACTAGATGAATGGTTGAGCGATTGTGATGCTGCTGTACATAATGTATACTATAGTCATTAAGAAGAATGAGTTGGCCGGGCGCGGTGGCTCACGCCTGTAATCCTAGCACTCTGGGAGACCGAGGCAGGTGGATCGCTCGAGGTCAGGAGTTTGAGACCAGCCTGAGCAAGAGCAAGACCCCCCTCTCTACTAAAAATAGAAATTATCTGGACAACTAAAAATATATATAGAGAAAAAATATATAAAAAAATATATAAAAATAAAAAAATATATAGAGAGAAAAAATTCGCCGGGCATGGTGGCGCATGCCTGTAGTCCCAGCTACTTGGGAGGCTGAGGCAGAAGGATTGCTTGAGCCCAGGAGTTTGAGGTTGCTGTGAGCTAGGCTGATGCCATGGCACTCTAGCCCGGGCAACAGAGTGAGACTCTGTCTCACTGGTGACTTGAAAAGACTTACACAAGTTGTATTTAAGCAAGAAAAGCAATATGTGGGGTAATTCTAATACATAATAGAGTCCCATTAGAAGAATAAAACAGTGAGAAGAGTCTGTTATATGTGACTATTTATGTATTTTAATATGATTATGTGAACATTGAGAAAAACATGGAAGACTGTCATCCAGATGTTTGATGTGGATTAACTGTGGGAGGGGTGCTGGTATGACTAGAACAGAAATTAGTGAGCCATCTCAAGGAAGTAGAAGAAAAGGAAAAAACTACACTAAAATATTAGTAAGACGTAAACATTTTTATGCATTTATGACAATTATATATGAGTGAGAGCATATATAAATGGAATTTTTTTTTAATATGTAAAGAGGAATTAGATGCCTGAAAATCACACCTGGGCCTCATTATCTCAGGCAAGTCTCACATACATAATTATGCCTTCAGGAGATAATAATTGCTAAATATCTGCTGTATCCAAACACAACCCTCTTTCATGTGTTATTTATGTTTTTAATCACTTTATCTGTAAATTACCTCCACAAAATGAGAATTTAAAATTTTGTATTCCTCCAGAAACAAAAAATCTATTGTAATGATATTTCTTCTTTGGTTATAGCTCCAGCACAACCAAAAACCAAGCCAATCCCTATTTATGATGCCACAGGAAAACTGCTTGTTACTTCAACAACAATTACAATCAGAATGCCAATATGTTACTACAGTGATGATCACGGACCAATCAAATATGTACAAGTGCTTGTGGCAGAAACAGGAGGTATCATCGAGTATCAATTTATCTTGTTATAGTGTAGAATGTGAATTGCTGCACACTGAAAACATTTTAGTGCAAAATTAATAATAGGAGATTGGTTCCCAATTATCACAGAAGTCTTGAGATTAATAGACTGTCAATATTATCATTAATTATACCAATCAATTGTTGATGCCTAAAATATTTCACCAAGATAAGAAAAGGCATAATTAAAATATGTGATTTATTTATTTCATATGCTAATAGGATTATTTTTATTTTGGCAAGGTGGAGTCTTGATAGCTTCTTTGGAGGTGTGAGCAAGAAAGTTACCCTCAGCTGAGGGATGTTCTTTTTCTACCTGAGAAATCATCCTCCACAACAATGCCTATAGATTCATGTATGATGGGGAAGGACAGGGTTACCTGCCTATCTATGTAGATCAGTTGAATCATCTCTGGTGGTTCATAGAGTGACTGATGTTATGTCCAGATTATCCTCATGCAATTATAAAAATACTCTTTATAAATGTGAAAATACATTCATCTATTACTTATAATTGTTATTCTTTTTTTTCTGAAAACAGCCCAGCATGATGGAAATGTAACAAAGTGGTACGATGCATATTTTAATAAAGCAAGGCCATATTTTACAAATGAAGGCTTTCCTAACCCTCCATGTACAGAAGGAAAGACAAAGTTTAGTGGCAACGAAGAAATCTATGTCATAGGTGCTGATAATGCATGTATGATTCGTGGCAATGAAGATAAAATTTGTAATGGACCTCTGAAGCCAAAAAAGCAATACTTGTAAGTATAGTTTATGTCTGCCATGCATTGTGTTAGCAAGCTAGTTAATATCTTTTATCCATTCATCTACCCATCCTTCTATCTTTCTGATAAACACTGGATGTCCACCATTTAAAGTGACCTGATGTTTCAGGCTCTAGCAATGGAAAGATAAACAAGGCATTACTCTTACATTCCATAAACATACAGTATGATAGGGGAAGCAGGCAAACCTAAAAGTAATTTGATTTGATATGATAAGTTACAAAGGATAAGATGAAAAATGTGCTACTGGAGCACATAGGTATGCAGGAGCACTTAATTCTTTCTGTAGAATGACTAATTTGTTTTTCACTCGGTATTTTGCCATGCATGCTGATGTACAGGTTTTTAGAAACACTATCCTATTCTTTTAGTTATGATGACTTCCCTTTATGTTATTCATAGCAATTACTTTCTGCTTTTTATCCTATCAAACATCTGAGTGAGTGATAGAAATCTTTACTATTTCCTTTAATATTTGGCATTTTGTAACCCTAATAACCTGACATATTAAAATCAATGCTGATATTTTAGATTTATTAAATTCCTTGCTAGATTGATTGATTTTTCCCTCTCGAATTGATTATATTAATTTTGTATCATAAGACTACAGTTAAAAAATCTTAACCTTATTTGATTTTCAAAATATAATTTTTACTACTAATTTTTAAAAAGGCCTGCTATTTAAAGCATTATCAAATTCTTTATGAACATCTTAGACCAAGTTATCATTAGACAAGTTAGAGAAATTAGACAATTAAAAAAATAATGCTTTATCATCTATTATTAAATGTAATTACTTTTGTTTATATTCTAGGTTATTGCCTGAATTTTACCCATCATACATACGACAGTTATGAAAATGATATGCCACAAGTTTTATATTTATTCTTATTTATTTCACATATTTGTTTCCAAAACAGACTCTGTGTATAACAAATGGAAGCATAAAGATTGTATTATATAATGGTGGAGATTAAATCATGTATTGCGATTTATTGGTTAAATATTTTTAAATGCCTTGTGTTTTTCACTTTTAAATGAGGCAAATTTCAGTTGTTTATGAGGATCTTAGAATCACCCAGAATTTTTAAGCTTGATTTTCTTCTGTACTCTTTTCTACTTCAAATGCTATGAAAGCATAAAAAACGTGCAAATACAATTGTGCACACAAAAAAATAAGAAACATTGTTATTAACTTGTTTACACGTAAATAAGACAAGCTCTATATAATCATTCTAATCTGATTTGCTAGTATTTGCAAAGGTGGTAGAGGTATAACAGTTATTATACCTTATATTTATAAAGTATATTAGTGCAACGCACTTTCACAGATATTAAATCATTTCATCCAAACAAATCTCTGAGGGAGGTTATCTGCTTCATTTGCTTAAACTGCTGACTTCTCATGAATTTGCCAAATTTTTGGTCACTACCCCATCAAATTTAACAGACCCAAGTACAAGATAATTATTGTCATCTCATATAGATATGGTATTTATTTGTTCTTATGGTGATTCAATTCCAAATTTGCATCTTGCAAATTCATTTTCTCTTGAATAAAAATAAACAGTTTTCATAATTATTTGTTAAGTTGTTCGTTGAAAAGTCATATGATATGCAAATTGTTGGTTTTAATTTTTTTATTTTATAGATTTAAATTTAGAGCCACAAATATCATGGGACAATTTACAGACTCTGATTATTCTGACCCTGTTAAGACTTTAGGTAAGACATATTTTGTATTTTAATTTAATGTATAATCTCAACATTTATCATAGTCGGAACATTTATTAGTAAACATATCAATCAATGACTGACTGTTCTTAAGTACAAATTCATTTCAATGTTAATTAGCCTGACTAAGGAAAAAATAGTATTCGTAACATTCTTTTAAAAGATTTATGTTCCATCCATTCAAATCTAGGCATAGATTTTGTTAGGGTATTGCTGTGCTAAGTACTGTGCTAAGACGTACTAACATTATACTAAATATTTATTTGACTCTCTTCATATGCAATCTTATATGTAAAACATTGTTACCTAATAAAAGAGAAATAGGTTTATGAGAGTTTTCCCTAAATAATCCTAAAAACTAGAAGCTTACAAGTCCTCTTTTATATAGTTATTTTCTTTCAAACAACTCTTTCATGGGTTTCTTTCAATTATACTTACCTAAATCAGGCCTAAATAAAACATGAATACAGTTTAGTCAGATGCATTCATATCATCATCATCATCACCATTACCATAATCACATCAAACATTAAATATTCTGTGCCAGACATACTTCCAGGCTCTTTGCATGTATTAACTGATGAACTCTTTACAACTATCCTTTAATTTAGGTCAGTGCTTCTCAATCATAATGATTTTATGCCCCAGGAAATATTTGGCAATGTCTGGAGCCATTTTTGGTTGCCACAAAAGAGTGCTGGTGGTGGCGGCGGTGGTGGTGGCGGTGTATGCTGCTGCTCTAGTGGGCAGAGGTCAGGAATGCTGCTCAATTTCCACAATGCACAGGGCAGCCCATAATGTTAACAGGGCCAAGGATGAGAAACCTTGAGTTAAGTGCTAATGTTCACTCCATTTCATAGATGAGGTAACCAAGACCCAGATTGTTTAAGTAATTAAGTGCCTGAGCCAGGATTCCAACATTCCAGCACAGGATTCCAAAACCACTACACTACAAATACAAGATTTGGACCTGGCTTCAAATCTTGGCTTTGTCACTTGAGCAAATAATTTAATTTCTATAAATCTCAATTTCCTTATTTGGAAAAAATGATAATGAGAGTATCTTCTGTGAAGGGTTGTTGAAAGGTTTAAATGAAACAACTTATGTAAAGATGTTAATATTTTAGAGTTAGTAAATTTTTAATGTTTAATAGCTTCTTTTTGAATTGGTTATAATCAAATATTTTAGAAATATCCTTATTGGGGAAAATTATTTCCCTAGAATTTCACTGAGAGTATCACAACTTGCTATTTCTTTTGCACCAAGCCCTCCAAACCCCCAGTTCATCCATCTGTAATACTTAAGGACCCAGGTGAGTGGTGTATCTCTGGGACACCACTTGAGAATGTCAGACTTTGTGTGTTGCTCAGATTCTGGTGAGCTGTTTTTCTGCATACCATGAGCTGCAAATAGATTTCAGTGAGAGTTGTGACTGGAAGAAAAGAGATTATTTCACCATTTTCAGCCAGAAATTTTCATCAGATTATGGAAACATTAATTGTATAGAAAACTAGCCTTTGCAACCTCTGCATAATCAGGGAAACTTTGCATCTTTAGGAAATAAAGAAGGGGCATTTAGTTTGCTAGATAGATGTTTGTAGAGAAATAACATATAAATTTCTTTGGCTAAAATGTTTAACTCCATAAAATCCTCAGCTTGATTAATTTTTACCCAATAATTTAATCATTTTAAACTAGCTGATTAGTCTTATGGTTTTGAGATTGTGTCGAGTGTTTCTTCATTTGATAGGTAAGTCTATCACACCCTGATACCACCACTCCTGTTGTCTTATTGTCATCAACATAATTTCCTGTGGGTTACAGCATTCAGAAGCCATTACTGCAGCTAAACAGTGATCCTGGTGCATTTACTGATAGAAGATACAAGACAGAAAAAATGGATAACTCATGTGTCTTAGGGAGATGTTATTTTATAGGAGCAGTGTCGAAAGGAGCTAGCTTTACTGTGTTATGTGTTGTGTATGTGTCTCTCATCAGCTTGCTGGTTTGATACAGATTATTGATGGGAGGACAACATGTTCAAAACTGAGCAGCAAAGTTGAGACATTCAGGGTAATAGACATGAGAAAGAAGAGCCATAGAAAGTGAGCACCAAGCATCAGGCATCATGGTGTACAGGGTCATGATTCCTTAGATACAGCCAACGATGGCCGCATCCAGCACTGCAGATAATCTCAAGGTGCTCCTCAGCAATGTCTTCTCTTTCTTCCTTCCACTCACAGCCAGGGTAGTAGGATGCAATGACCAGTTCTGGAATGTAGCAGAAACGCAGAGTTAGTTTTCTGGTTTCTTCTTTGGAATCATAACCACCGCCACCCCAATCATCTAGGTACTAATGTTTACATGCCGTGGTAACATCAGGAGTCTAGAGAGGGTAGAAGATGTGGAATGAAGGACAGAGCACAGGATCTTGTCAAGATTAGAGAAGGAGAGACTGGTGAAACAGACTGGACACAGTAGGTAAAAAGCCATCGGGCTGGTAAGGAATAGTGACAAGGAAGGGTCCCATGTGTCTATTATCAAATTGCTCAAAGTTCAGTATATTATTTGTATACCAGTGACAAAAGGACATCTTTTGAGGCTACTTCTCACAAAGTGATCTTCCAAGGACTCTCTCCTGACAGATAGCAGCTTTGTAATTGGCTGTTGCCCTGTAATGCTTACTCTGGTTTGACCACATGGGGTTCTGCTATTTAAATAGTCATTTATAGCTGGTAAAATAATGACAGGAATGAAGGAAATTACTAGGGGTGTAATCCTTAGTCATGGGGAAATGAGAGCACACCCTTGGAGCAGAAGTTCTTGGTGACTAGCAAAGTAGCTCAGCCATTTTTGCTGGTTAATGAATTTAACACTATCAATTTCTGTTGCCACATTTGCTTTCTACCAGACTATTGGATGTTGTGGTTCTGTGGAGAACAGATTCATCTTGATGGTCAGGAAACAACAAGCCCCCTCTAGAAACAGCCCTGGTCTCCTTGACATTAGTAGAAGGCCATGGAGTCAAAAGAGTTATTGGCAAAAGAGTTTTGCCAAGGAAGATATAGTAAAAGGACTCGAAAAGGAAACAAAGTTGATCATTTCTACATGGTCAGTGGTCACTGTCAAGAATGTTTTCATCACTATGAGAATGAGGACAACCGAATAATAAAGTGCATTGATATAATTCCCCTAGTGTCATCGGAAGATCAGAAGATGACAAAGGATGACTGAATCTTTTTTCTCAAATATGCCATGTGTTGGGATATTTGGTATCATTTAGAGCAGGCTAGTGGCTCCCAAGATTCTTAGCAAGCCTGCCAAAGACTTGCGTGTATATGTAATTCCAGAGTTCAGTGAGAGACATCTAGATCCTATCTATGTCATCAAACCACTAGCGAATAAGCACTCATTCGCTGGTATTTTGCACACCACAGTTGGTGAGCTCTAAGCTGAGTTGCTTATGAATTGAAACTTCCGGATTTAAGAGCCTTTGCAATGCTATGTTTCTGCAGATCATTTTGTTGATAGTTGTGCTTTTCAGAGATGTTATTATTTGGAAGTCAAAATCAGGTGCAAAAGATTCAACATAGACTGATGAATTAAAAAAGGTTTAAGTTTAGTGAAAAGGGCTAACAGAACTAAAAGTGAAAGGGCGCCAGGCATTTGCTCAATAAGGATGAGTCTATGGACAAGGAGGTTGCACTTAGGGAAATCTTTATGGCATGTAGGAATAAACAGGAGAAATGACATATGAATTATTTTAATCCTAAATAAATACTTACAACTTATTTGATGTTGTTTTCACTCAAGATTGAACATTAGCATTTTTATTGACAAAATTCACAAGAAAGCCTCTTAAACTTTTTAAAAAAAAATCTTCCTTAGGCACATCAGTTTATGGCAACTGCTTGTAGGCAATGTTTTGATAACAAGGTTTAATTATAGAGGGTTCCTATGATTTGAAAATCAGATACCCCTTTCTGCACCTTACAGGGCTCTCATTAAAGCTGAACAAAATGAAATCTTAAACCCTATGGCAAAGGCACTCTGTGATTGTTTTCTTTGTCATAACACTTCTCATTTAATTACTGTGCTAACAATGAGAAGTTCCAATGTGCTCACTTAGACTCAGAAATAGGGAGTTGCTATTATCTTTTGCTGCAAATGATCACTTTCCCCAAGGAGCAGAGGGAAGGTTTGCTTTACTATGGAGGCAGCAGTAATGTGAGGTGTACCTCACCAACTTTGCAGTCCGAGAGGCATAGTTCATGCAGTTTTAGCATATATTGAATTTATGTGACCTTAGGTTAGTTATTTAACAAATTATTTAAGTTCCAAATTCTTATTTCTAAAATGAGAATACTAATAGCTACCTCATAAGCTGAGAGATTAAATCATATGAAAGAATGAATATCAAATGTTTATTAATAAAAATACCTGACATTGTTTATGTACCCAGCCTTTTCAGTGGTTTTGCATATAAACTAATGTATTCTTCACTCTACAGCTCTATAAGATAACCTCCTATTTATAGATATCCCCAATTTATAGGTAAGAAATCTGAAGAACTGGGTCTTTAAGCAAGTCGACCAAGGATTTTAACCTTAGCAAAGTTTGTGGCAGCACGAGCTTTCAGACCCAGTTTCTGTGACTCCAGTCAGTGCTGTGCTTGTAAAAACTGTACACTCCCTGAAAATCACTGAGTGCCCAGGTAGCTTTCAACTTCCTTACTACTGGTGATGTTTCTGATCCCACAGACTTCCTATCCTTGCTGTATTATTTTCTCTTCTGAATATTTTAAATTATTTCTAGCTGTTCTCTTTTCTCACCTTCTTGTCTTGGCTTTCTGAGGTTAACATTCATAAATGAGCATGTGTTCTTTTTGTAGACAAAGATACGATAATTCCTCTTTTCTTTTTAACAATAGATGAGTGTGACTTTTTCCCCAAACCTGGCAAACACTTTATTATCTACTTTTAAAATTTTGCCAGTCTGAATGAATGAAAATGACATC